TCCATCTGAATGCCTACACTAGACACGATATAACCAAAAAGTTTGCCTGGTCTGTCATGAAGTGACACTTCTTTTGAATGAGCATATCATTTCTCTGCTCATAATACCTTGAACACCGTCCTCGAATGATGTAAGTGTTCTTTCTCATATCGGTTGTACACCAGAATGTTGTCAAACTATACCACCACAAATTTCTCAATTTGAGCTTGGAATACCTGATTCATCAACCTTATAAAAGTGCTGGGCGATTTTTATAAGTTGAAGGGCATAAATGTCCACTTGCATAAACCATCTTGTGTATTGAAAGCTATCTTTCACTCGTCTCCTGACCTCATTCGGATCTATTGATACGCACTATGTAAGTCGATTTTGGAAAAGATGATAACACCGTGTAACTGGTCCAATAGATTTTTAAGTGAGGTATGAGAAATCAGTACTTGATTGCAATCTTGTTGATGACTTTGTTGGCAACTGTCAATACACATCTACCACAAACCGTCCTTAGGTACCATTAGGGTGGGGATGGCACACGGACTCGTACTCTCTCTGACCAACCTTCTCGCGATGAGATCCCTGTACCTATAGCTTCAACTCGCACTTTGCGGGTCTCAATCTATAAGCGGGCCGATTCAGCAACACTGATCTTAGTATGAGATCTATGGTTTGTTGAATGTCCCTCAGTGGCGGCAATCCTTCTGGATGACTGTAGGTCATCACATCCTAAAAGTCATGTCGTAGTGGTTGTAGCGGTGTTGGTATTTCAATCTCCTCAGTTCCCTCTAATAGGACTAATATCAGTGCTACTGGAGCATCCTGAACTAACTACATGAAGGTGGCTCTTGGGACTAACGCCTCCTCTGTGTCGCCTACACTTCTCACATCCTTTGCAGGAAACAATACGATGTATTTCTCATCCTTTTTTAAAGAGTATGTATTCTTGAAGCTATCATGTTGAGTCTTGCGGTTGAACTGCCAAAGCCTCCCCAATAGAATATGTCATGCGTTCATCGAAATCATATAGCACCACACTTTCTCCTGCAACTGGCCCTTAATTGAAAATTCAACCAAACATTGTTGATCCATGCATATTTTGTTTCCCTTCTTGAACAATGTAAAAAGGAAATAAGACGGGATGTTTCTACGTAGCCAATTCCAATTTCTTCAACGTCAGCGTGAACACCACATTTTCACAACTCCTACTGTTGATGATCAAACCGTAAACATTGCCCTTTACTGTACACTTAGTGTGAAGGATATTGTACTTTAACTATAACTGATCTCGCTCCGACTCTGACTGCAGAACTCTTTGTATGGCTAACAACTCTCTTTGATCATCGTGAAGATGAAGTTTTTGACTCCTCGTCCTCCACCTCCTCGATGACGACCCTATCTGTGAATATGACAAATCGGCTTGTGGGACAGCTTTGGAGGTTGTGTTCATAGTCGTGTCGGTTGAAATACATTTTTGCAGGTAATGTATTGGAAGAGCTATCCTTTTCCGACTTATTTCCACTCTGATTTGTCTTGTTACTCCCCTATCCTGTCTTATTGCCCTTATTGATCATGACAATTGTAGTCGACTGCCTAATTGAAGGCTACTATCTAAATGAAGATTATTGTCTCCTCTGTTTTTGTTATTTTTCCACCTTCAGTGCTAAAGTTTGAACATCCCCAAGTGACTAGTATATTTGTAACTGCACAACATTGCTAACAACAAGCTTCAGACCCCTCAAGTATTGAGTTATAGTGTGTTACTCTGGCTTGAACAACTCACAGTTCATCTGCAGCTGGTTGAACTGTGTTGAGAACTCCTCCACTGAAAGTCTCTCTACTGTAGGTGGAGACATGTCCTGGCGGTAATAGGTGGAATGCATTTTCTTTGCATCGCTTTCTTCAATTTTTCCACTTGGTAATCTTGTTGTTGCATTCTATTTTTCTGTCTCTATACATTTTTCTACCACAAAAAGGAGCGCTTTTGAAATCTGATTTTTGCTAATTTCACTTGCTTATCTTCTAGCACCTCCTTATATTTGAAGATTCAACAAACTGTAGTCAGTCAATAAACTCGTCTAGATCCATACCTCTATCAAACTCTGGTAGATCCATTTTGATGTTCAAATCCCTATATCTTTCATATATGGGCTCCTCTTTTGGCCTTCTCTGGTTCTGAATTCCAAAGCGTCGTGACATGTATTCCTCGCTCTAATGTTTCCCCTGTTGGATTCAAATCCTCCTTCATGCTCCCCTTCGACTCTCCAGATCACGAATAAAGGTAATCTATACCTGAGTTCCATCATTAATCTCTGTGAGTCTCTGTTGAATCCTATAGATCTCTCTCTGTATCTTGCCCCAAGTTAGTTTTGACAGATATCTCCGTGGTGGTATGATTAGGGTTTGGGTTTAGAAGGGATGGTTGAGGATTGGAAAGAAAAATTTTGATTGAAGGATGAGGATGGATGCTAGAAAACCTTATGATAGGATTGGTTATGTCATAGCTCTGATATCAAATAATATCGAAGTAACCTGATAATAACCAAATACAATTATTATTGTTAGAGTTTAGAAAGAAACACAACAGGAATTCATAAAACTAGAAATAAAATGACACAAATACAAACAGGACTTTAGGGCGAGGGCGAAAGTGTTGAACTCATGCTGACAACAGCGTTGGGAAATTTTGAGAGACTATAACAGAAAGAAAAAATATTGCGTACAGAGTATGTATTGTGCGAACTCCAATAGTACAACGCGATTTGCAAAGTGGGATTAGATAAATTACAAATATATATATATATATATATATATATATATTTCGAGCCAAAACGAGTCGAACACTAACGAACAAATATTGGTTTATGGTCGAAAATCGTTTGGTGTATTCTGGTGATATTCTAGTAATATTTTGGTGGTATTTTGTGATATTCTTGTGGTTTTATTGTGGTTTTCTTGAATATTTTGGTGGAATTCTTGTTGTATTCTAGTGATATTCTTATTGTATTTTGGTGATATTACTGTAGTATTTTGGTGGTATTATGGTAATATTTGGGCGATAGTCTGGTGTTATTATAATAATATTTTGGTGATATTCTAGTAATATTCTGGTATATCAGCAGAATACCATCAAATCATCACTAGAATATCACCAAAATTTCATCATGATATCACCAGAATATCATCATAATATCACTAGAATATCATCATAATATTACCTTAATATTATCATAATATCACTAGAATACTAAAAAAATACCACCAAAAAATTGCAAGAACACTCAAAATATCATCATAATACCACCAAAATACTATCATAATACCACAAGAATATCACAAAAATATAACCAGAATATCAACAAAATATCTCAGAATACTACAAGAATACTATAAGAATACCACCAGAAGATCACTAGAATATCATCATAATACCACCATAATATCAACAAAATACTGTCAGAATATTACAAAAATATCACAAGAATATCACCAAAATACCATCATAAGACTACAAAAATACTACTGGAATATCACCGGGCAGTCTTAAAGCCGGGTCGCGTGAAAATTTGTTTTTTTCATATTTTTTTTTAATTCGCAAAAACTCAGCCCCACCACTTTAGAAAGGGCGTTGTATTATTGGAATTTGTATGGTATGTACTTCCAATGTAATATTTTCTCACAAGTGGAGGGCTAGGAGGATGCGGCTGTAGGGAAGGTGCGAGAGGGGCTTGGTGGCAGCAGGGACGTGTTGGCTAGGCTTGGCGGAAGTAGGGAGGGCGCTGGCAAGTCCTAGCGACAGCAGGACGGTCGTAGGCAGGGCTTGGCGGCAATAGGGAAGGTGCAAGAAGGTTGGGTGGCAGCGGGGGAAGGTATGGGAAGGCAAGGCGGTAGCATGGAAGAAGCAAGAGGGGCTTGGCGGCGGTAGGGAGGATGTTGAATGGTCTTCGTAACAGTAGTGAAGGTGCAAGAAGGTTGGGCAGCAGTGAGGGAAGGCGCAGGAAGGCAGCAGAGAAGGAGTATGGCGTGAGACTGACGGGATAACCACCACCTTAGAGCAGGATATAGTCGGATCTACACCTGTCCTCAGATACAGCCCCAAAAAGAGATGAGACACCTATCGGTAGGAACTCTAAAATTAAAAAGAACAAAACTGCGCCCTAAAATACTCAAACAGCATAAATAAATAAATATATATATGTATATATATATATATATATATATCTCGGGGGTTCACGCCCTTTGAAACATCTGTCCCATCCAGCCTCCTGCTGGACCGAGAGGACTAAGTCAAGCCCCGCATCATGTACGATTCTTTATTTTCACAGTAAATGCCTCTTTTTAATTGACCATCTTTAGTACCGAACTTCCTTTTTTTGAGGTTTTAGGTTTTATATTCCTGCATTTAAGATGTTAGGCTTGATTAGGTGTAGTGAAAGAAGTTTTGAATCCATTTATGTTTGCTTTTTTTGGAGTTGTCGGCCGTCATCAAATCATTCATATGCCTTTTCAAAGCATCTTTCTTTCATGAGAATGCATTGTCTAATCCAAAAATTTTAATGCCAAAATTGATGTAGGAGTAAGAGTGTTAAGAGGAAGCTTAATGCAGGTTAGGATACGGTTTCATTGAACTGCTCTAAAGAGAAAAAAATCTATGAGCCTCATGTTAACCGGGCACATGGAACCTCTCTAACAAAGAGTATAATTCCTCCTTATTTATATTTTGGCAAACTATTGATCCTACTCTGAAATCCTTATTCCATTTATTTATCATGTGGGGGCTTTGAGAATATTTGGATGTTCATATTTCCCCTTGGTGGTTTTGAAATTTTAGCATAGTTGACTGAAGCCTGTTCTATTTAAGTTACTCCGGCTGTTCCCAAAATGATGGCTTATGTTCATTTATCAAGATTTAACTCAATTCCAGGAACTTATATTATTCATTTCTTTGTTCTATTTATTTAACTTATTTCGTCACTCTTAAGTTTTTTTTTTTTTTTTCCCCTCAACAGTCAGAAGGTGGAAAAAAGCTCCCATTCATTCTTGTGATAAACTTGGAGGTACGTATAACTCAAATTAGTTGATTAATTTCGATTACTGTATTTGTTTCCTCTTGTTGCTTTGTTTATCAAATTCGACAAATTAAAATAGGAGTAGAATTATTTTGCCAACTCAGAGACTGACTTGTAAAAAACATGTTCAGTCTTTGCATCGAAAATAAAAGAATTAATTTTCCTTTTCAATCTCTATCTAAGATAAGTTGCTTGTTCATTTACTACTTTACTCTCTTCGGCTCCCATTCTGTTAGATTATGCATTACTATCTTGGAAATATTCTTTTTTTGTTGTGCCCAGGTGGTCCCGTTATTTATGCAGGCTATTGTCAATCAGTTTGTCATCTTTTATTTGTTATGCAATTTTTTGATCCCAACGAAGTTTTTTTTTCTCAAAATGGCATGTTATTGAATCATCTGAAAGTCTCCCAGAAAACAATTTAAGATGATTCCTTCCTTTCAAAATTCTCTTCCACCAGTTATACAAAAGTCTTTAGAGTAGGTTTATGCATAACACTTCTTCGTTACTTTGACCTGATTTTGAATCATGTGCTTAACTATGAGTGTTATAAAATCCTCATTTAAACACATGCCGACCCATTTCTGAGATTATGATATATGGTCCTGTATGATTGGAGTCTAGGCATGTTGCAAAGGGTGTAACTGCAACTGACTTTTACTTCAAATCAAAAACTTTAATATGATTAGAATCCTTTCTCCAAATGGATGAAATGATTGGATGTTTGTGGCATTTGTTCTGTCCAGCTTGGTTGGGATTATAAAATTACTGATGATTTAAGACATACTTTTAACCTGTTGCTTCTGTAGTAACAATCCGGGAGGAATTATGTCTTACTCTCCTTTATTTCATGTATTTCTTTCTATCCTTGTTGTTAGTTTTATTCCTCTTTTTAATTGTTGTTGTCTTTTTTTTTTTTTTTGTCTCTAATTGTAGATGATGGCTCTTTGAATGCAGATCCCTGCGAAGCCATTTTACAGTTTGGTTCTGTATTATGGTGCTGAGAGACCCATAAATAAACAGTCACTATTGGGAAGATTTGTTGAAGGAAGTGATGTGTTTCGAGATTCAAGATTTAAACTTATACCAAGCATTGTGGAGGTAGGCACCTTTCATAAGGAACCATTCAGTTTGTATATCTTTATTGTGTCCCTCCCCACAACGATCCTTTATCAGTCAACATGAGAAGTAACAGAAGCAAGTGTGATTCAGCTAATTGAATATACGTTCAACAGGCATTTTGGTATCTTACTCATCGGAATATAGTAGGAGATAAATCCAATAGCCTAAATTCACCTGGAGGAACGCATAATACATTACTCCAATTTAATCAAACAATGCCAATTAAGTAACCCCCTTTGAATATTGGTAATAAAATAATAATAATAATAATAATAAAACAATGCAGATTAAGTGGAGGTAATTCAAAACATATCATTTAAATATATTTACAAAGCATGTAAAATATATCAAAATTGTTATATAAAAAAAAATAAAAAAATAAAAAGTTTGATTTTTAATCTCAAACTTTCTTTATCTTACGATGGTTGCATACCAAAAAATGATTACATGATTTTACTAATTCTGCCCAGCTTTAACTTTTTCATTTTTTTTCCTTTAAAAATAATTATAACAATCTAATGAGTGCCTCATCAAGATAAATAAATACAATGCATAATTAAAATAACCAGAGCATAGAAAAAATAACATTTTTTAATCTAAATCTTTTTTATCATTGTAAAAGAAAATCAGCTAAACAACTGGTCTTATAATAAATAAATATTTTCATGAAAAAATATTTTAAGATGAGGTTATCATTTATAATATTATATTGACATATGCACGATTGATATCATACTAGTTTAATTTTTCATATATTTTTTTTTCTCTCTTTTAATTCAATCAGTACTTAATATAGAATGGAAATAGGTGTCATAATCATATTAATTTGACGAACACTTTACATTAATATGAGTTTTCCTTTATCTTTTTATTGATACATGCCTCTTAGTCATATAGGGCTCATCTTTCTCGCTTTATCTGTAAAAGTTATTATATTTATTTATGCACTCATCTTTGTCGCCCAAATTGTAAAGATATCATTAACATAGCATTAGCAATTTATCCCTCATATCATGATATTTCTTAAGCTCAATATTTTTGCATCATTGAACATTTAAATAAACATGTGAATTAATTTAGAACATGTTGAAGAACAATGTATGTAAATTTGCTAAATATATGCTGACTGGATGTCTTCATTTAAAAGTATGACTATTAACAAAAATATTAATATAATCAGGCTGTATTTAATTTTGAGCTTATATCAACCAATTTTTTTTTAGTCATTTATTCATGAATAATAATAATATTAATATTTTACACTATTGCCATTCAAAAAGTTCAAGAAAATTTACCTTTTGTATTAGAATTTGTATAACTTTTCCACTTTGACGATTTACCTCTTCGAGATGAATATCCTGAAAATTCTTCTTTTGTAAACAATCTCCATGTTACTTCTCATGCAAGCCTATAAACCTATCACTTTTATGTGAAATCAATTTGTGAGGGAAACATCAAAATTCAAAATTTGAATTAGAAAACTAAATTTCTTACCCTTTTCTCTTTCCTTCCTCTTCTTCTTTTATTCTCCTCTCCTCTTCTTCTTTCTTTTCCTCATCTTCTGTTCTTGTTCTTCTCTTATTTCTGCCTTTTTTCTTCTTCTTTTACTGATTTCCTTCTACCTGCACTTCCCAGTCCTCTGTTACAGCTAAACGAAGGGTTCGGGATGGAATGATTGAATGTTAAAGATTGTAACATATAAACTTATAAATATAGTTAAGTAATTATAGATCTACATGCTTTATTTCTTATTTAATCTTAGCCATTGCATAAATCCTAACTAATGCATGTTCTTGTAAATTGAAAAGATGAAAAATCCACTTAATGCTACAACAGTAAAACTAAAATAAAACCTTAAAAAAATTATCAAAATCAAAATTAATTTTATAACTACTTCATATTTGAGAATTAGCATGTAGTTCTCTCTCTCTCTCTCTCTCTCTCTCTCTATATATATATATATATATTAAAACAATCTTTTTGAATGGTAAAATATAAACGAATTGATTTTTGATAATTTTTTGAAAATTTTAAATTTTAGGTATATAATTTATTTGGAATATTTTTGCATTTGTTCCTTATAAAAATTGAGTATTACCAAAGTATCCCAGGAGCCTGCACTTATATAATACTTGACGAACTGCTAGGGGTATTGGATGGTTAAACGTGCAGTCGGCACTAAGGCCTGTCTTCTAGGGAAGGCAGTCACATGCAGATACCTTCGCGAGGATAACTTTCTAGAGGTAAGCTCTCCATATTCTGCTGCCTTTCTGCTTTTCCAAATGCTTTATATGATGCCATTTCTGTTTGTTATTATTTATGTGGGAAATTTGCATACATATCACTCAATTCTTATGTATTTACATATCTCACACCTAAACTTTCATATTGACATATATAGTGCTTTGGTGCTTTAAATCTATGCAAGAGAATGTTTAATTCACCTTTAAAGTGTTGGTAGTGCCTTTTTTTATGTGATATTAAAGATTTGAGTTCTATGTGTGTAAATATGAAATTCTATCTGTAAGGTATGTAAATATATAAGAATTGTGTGCTATGTATTTGAATGCCTCTTTATTATTATCATGCCTTGTTGGCTTCCATAATTTTCTAAGTTAAAAACGTGCTTTTATGCCACAGCTAAATGCTTGCTTAATGGTTAACATTTAGGTTAAAAAATCCTCATGCACTGAGAATTTTAATGAGATGTAATTCATACTTTGCTAAGAGCTTGTCGCTCGTCTAATGGTTTGTTCTCTATGGACACTGAATCAGTTTTGATCTTGCAGATAGACGTCGACATTGGCTCTTCATCAGTCGCCAGACATATCATGGGTTTAGTTCTTGGATATGTCACTGGCATTGTTGTTGATCTAGCAATTCTAATCGAGGTTTGCTGCTTTGTAACTCACTGTAGAGTGCCTTATTTTGGAAGATTTACATACATACCACTCAATTCCTATTTATTTACATATCTAACACGTAAACATCTATTTTTACATACATACCACCTTACATATGCATGAAAAGGTGGAATTCACCTTGTTAAAGTTTGTGATATTTTTGATGTGATATAAAAGATTTGTGTGGTGAGATGCCGAGATTTTTGTAGTTCAGCCAAAACTGACCTATGTTAATGGGATACGAGTAAATAATTTCCCTTAAATTTAAGGACACCCAAATTTATTAGAAGAAAGAAGGTGAATCTCTCATGCCAAACAAAACTGGGAATAATACTAGAGAGAAAATGTGTGAAAAATATTTAATTAATACAAAAAGTTGGCCACTTAAAAGTTCCTCAAAAGGGTACATTCCCAAACATGTATAAAGTCGTTATAGAATTTTTGGCACCATTTTTTGCTTGTATAAAGATGTTGCTACCTGATCTCTTCCCCCGCTCCCTCACTTTTTAAATCTTTTTCTGTTAAGCCATTACTATCTTTTTTACTCTCTTTAATGAATACTCTCCCTCTGTTTTTATTTCAACAACAATCACTTCTTTTGAAGACCCCAAAAGCACACTCAATCAAAGCCTGACAGCCAACAATCTTAAACAAAATTTCCCAGCAGCATGCCAATCAATGCAATATATAAAAAACATTTTGAGATGGTTTCAAATCTGATTAGGTTTAAATTTTGACCTAAAATTATCAAAAATAATAAGGGTCATTTAAATACATACCACCCAATTCTTTTGTATATACATATCTAACACCTAAACGTTGCTTTTTACAATCATAACAAAAGTACCACTTTATAAACTCTTAAAAAGTGAAATAGGCCTTTTTATATACATAGGTAAGATGGCATATTCGTAAAAATTGAAGTTTAGGTGGTGGATATGCAAATTACATAAGAATTGAGTGGTATGCTTGTAAATTTTCCAAATAATAAACTGTTTGAAAAACTTTTGATTTTATCCTATATATGAATCTATGTATATTATTTAAATTTGATAATTAATTACTTGAACAAAAAATTCTAACAATTGTGATAATGCTATTAAGGATGATGATTGTGCCATGTACTGCTGTAGTGACCATTAGCTGAATATTAAGGAATAACATTAAAAACAATTATCACGCATTGTGTTACAATTAGACAAGCTAAAACATTTTATTAGTGTTGAACAAAGTTGCTCCTGTAACGTTGTTGGATCCAAACAATGTCAGACAAATTTTAAGCTTATTTGATTCTCTGTTAGTAAGATGCAAGTTGCCACCGTGATAATTTTTAGCACTAATTAGGGCTGTAATGTTGATTCCTATTGGTAACTACAATTCTGTGAAATACAAGCTTAACTCAAGGGGCATTTACATAAATATCTCACAATTCTTATGTATTTACATATATAACTCCTAATCTTTCATATTTACATGCACAGCAGTGCTCACATCTTTAATATAATATCAAAATGCCGATATCACTTTTTAAAAGGAAAATACACCTTTACCTGCAGAGTTTTATGACACAAAAGTGTTACAAATATAAATATGGAAGTTTATGTGCTAAATATATAAATATATAAGACTTGCATGGCCTATACATAAAGTTCCTTAAAAAAACATGTTCTAGTTTGAACTTATTCAGTTTTTTTTTTTTTTTTTCCCCATTTTCTTTTCAATTTTGTTTGGCAAACAAAAAGATAGTATGTATATTTATCTATAAACCTGCTATTTTTTTCAGGCCAAGGAAGAAAATGAACTTCCTGAATTTATTTTGGGGGCAGTTCGCTTAAACCGACTGAGGCTGGACTCTGCGGTGCCAAATCCTTAAATCTCTACTGCTCTTAAATAAAATATTATTGCCCTAAGAATTCTTATGAATGAATGCTCAATTTATTTCAAAAGAGTAAGCAAATAAATCGTATTGGTGTTTTATATTAACTATTCTTTTCAATGAATTGATTATTTATGGATATACCCAATACTAAGATGGTTAGAATTTGCTGTCTGTATATCAAGGCCTTGTCTGTAGAGTAATGATTACATTTACTCTATCATGATCTGACATTGCATATTTGGATCATGAAAACAGGTTTGTGATGTTGATGAAGATTGTTGTGTCATTTCCTGATACTGGTGCAATCTTTGATATTTTAGAGCTGTTTATGTTAATGAAAACATTTGTATTTTTTGGAGAATTTAAATGATAGGATACTTGCATAGTTTCTTATATAAAAACCCATAGTTCTTATGGCAAAGCACCAAAATTTTATTAAAATAACAATTGATTTTCCTCTTCATATAAATCAGATATGTGGCTTGATATTGTTGATATCAGTTGTGCCAAGTATCAGTATTAGATGTAATATCATTGGAGATAAATTGTAGTGGAAATGAATGTATTGTCCTTGCCATAAATGTTAAGTAAAAAATAAAGCATCATCAAGATGCTAGGAGATTTAGTATGAGGTTGAGTACTATATAATATTTTTTTAAAATGTTTATAGATTGAATAACTCTTTATAATGCTTTATAATAAAACTTGATTTGAACGTATAAGATCAATTGAAGTTTAAGCTTAAAATGTTAAATATAATGTTGAAAATTCATGGACTCTCAATCTTCATATAAGTCTTGATTCTTAACAACTTACCTTCTAAAGAAGACGAAGTCATGGAATGTCTTTAAGATGAAAGTCTTATTAGAAACTCAATATGATACAGTTGGGATATTGCTTCGTGGTGAGTGTGTAGTGACTTCAAACATTGCTCAAGGTTAGCATATGTTCTATGTCAAAATTTTTTGAATAAATGGCACCAGAACAAAACACCATGAAAAAACTTAGAAACTAATGTGAGTGTCGCACCTAGCTTTTATCAAGAAAAATAATGAGTTATAATCTTAAAAAAGAAAACGACTCACAAAAAGGAAACATAAAAATGAAAAATACAATAAAAAAAAAACTAAGATAAAAAAACTAGCAGCAGCAGCAGAAACAAGAACAGGAGGAGCAAGGTGTCCAACAACTGAAAGTAGCCAGAAGATGAGAACAGTAAAATCTTCAGAAGGTGGCTCAGTAGAAGTCAACAAAGCATGAGAGAAAAACACAAGGAATCAACATTAGACCGCAAGCTAATCAAATCACAAGAGGAGAGAATCAGTTGCAACAGACCAAACAAAGAGCAACAATCAAAGAGATGACAAATAAAACTGTAAAGAGAAAATGAAACAGCATACATAAACAAAATAAAAAAAGTAAAAAGAAGTAAACAAAAAAATTGAACTCAGAACTTGCCTCATAAGAATATTAAAATTTCATATATAGTTTAGAATACAAACCATATTTTGATACTGGTTGAATTTTAATATAGATTGGAATTCATCAATGCTCGATATTGAATCTCAGAAAAATGCAAAGATCAAGATAAAATAACTTAATTATGAATATCATCAATTGATAAAGTCATCCAAGAAAAACTGAAAACAAAAACTAGCAACAACCGTAGAAACGGGAACATGAAGAGCAAAAGATCCATCAACTGAAAGCAGTCATAAGATAAGTGAACGCCAACATCTCCAAAAGATTGCTCATAAAAAGTCCACAAAACAGGAGACTCGAACCCAATGAAGTAACCTTAAGAGAAGGGAGAACCAACTGCCATAGAGAAGAATTTTAAAATTCCATCCTAAGTTTAGAATATAAAACATATTCTAAAATTGGTTGAATTTTAAAACGACAGAAATTCAACAACGCTCGATACCAAATCTTAGCAATAAAAAAAGATCAAGATACAATAACTGCAAAGAAGAAAAACAAAAGCAGAAAAGCTATTATAGACCAATTAAGTAACAGTGACAAACATTCAATATCCACCAAAAGATAGAAATCAAAAAAGGAATCCTAATAAAAAGAAAAATGCTAGAAGCTATCTACAATGCCATAAAATTCAATAATAGTACTAGGTGCATATTCCATTTAAATTTCCAATTCCTACTTTTAAAAATGATCATCCAATGAATATTGTGAATAATCAATAGAATTAGATTTATTTTCAAAGATTCTAATATTCTTTTCATTTTAAATGTAATAAGCAGTAATTTGCCAAAAAAAAAAAAAAAAAAAAAAAGAGAGAGTGGAATCTTCTTTGAAGTTTAGAAGAAATATAATTAGAGCGATACAAACTTAAAAGAAGTTAAAAGGAGCTATGAAAAATTAACAAAATGAACACATTTATTAAGGAGATAATGTGAATAGGACATTCAAAGAAAAGATGGTCATGGTCCTCGATGTTATTTGAACAAAGAGCACATGTATTATGAATATTAATTCCACGAAGATTAAGACCTTCATGAATGATTTTCCAAACAAAAAATCAATTTTAATAGTGTATCCTTTGAACAACAAGTTTAAACCAGTCAACTCTTAAGGAATGATTCAAATAAGTAATGATAAACAAGTTAATGATAATATTTGTTCTCATTTCTCTAAAGACAAGAAAGAACTGAGATATAAGAAAGTGCTCAATTTCATTAATAAAAATAACAGGAGTATCGATAAAAAAATTCAACTTCCATCTTTTGTTTATTAAAACATCACAAATTTTAAAATTTAGGAAGATTGAACCAATTAAAGATATTCCTCACACTTCACATCATGTGAATGCATGACTCACCACCAAGCCAATCCGTTGTGTAATTCCCTCCAACGAGAGTTAAAACATTTCACTCCTTATGGCACCGCTACGGCTTGTCATAGGCGTCCCTGCAGGTCACTGCATCCATGGCACACCCTCCCATGAGGTCAATGCCTCCACTTCACACTTAACCCTCCGGGTCACTGCCTCCACGTCACTCTTAACCCTCTGGGCCGCTGCCTCAACGGCATACCCACCCTCCACGTCACTACTTCCATTGCAAGCCCACCCTCCGGGTCATTACCTCCATGGCACATCTACTCTCCCAAGTCACTGCCTTCATGGCACAATCATTTTTTCACTTATCTTGTATGGTTTGCATGCATCATTCGTCACTTATGGCGCATTTGTCACTAGTATATGCATTGTACGGTAGTGACGAATGTTTGCCATCTTTTGATCATTGTGCATTTCTTTGATTGTGTCAATGAAGAATTTAGCTCGTTAGCTAAGTGACCTATTGCTGGTCACGACGGCGTAGCAAGTATTGCCCACGGGGATGTCTCAATGGGGCAATACTAGCTACCATGTTGTTATTACCACATGTGTGTTGTGTTAAGGTTCCAATGGATCTTATAGGTGCCACTTAGGCTTTCTATTTCTTAGAAACTATTTTAGAGAGTATAAAAATCTATATTTTTATTACTTATATGCCTCATATTTTCAAAATCTATTTTTAAGTTACTTGCATATTTAGCTTAGACTAGACATGAGGTTAATCTTTCAAAAGCTTTTTAAAAAATGCATCTAGTGGCACCTCTTATAATCCTTGGATCCTTAAGATTGGGCCGGTGACGGCGACCTCATCAAAAAATACATTAGCCTTTTGACATAATCCTGCACTCACTTAGATTTTATGTTAGGACAATATGTTAGAAGATGTGTTAGGCTAATGACTAGGATGTTATATAGTCTTTTTTAATGTTCTGGCTATAGTTCTTTGCTGGTTTGGTTGCCCTCGCGAGGAATCAATTTTTTTTGTTTTTGGTTTGCTTGCATGCTTAATATTTTGTTGTGCATTGTAGTATATTAGGTCGCTCTTCTTGTAGAGGGTCATGCCTAAAATACACACCACACGTGTAAAATTTTTTTTCAAATTATCTGATGATAATTTATTTACAAAGATTTACTCTCATAATGAAAATTGTTAATTTTGTAATAAATTTTTACCTTTCATGAGAATTATTCAGAAATAGCATAGAATTTAGTATCATAAAAATATAGTTTGGTTTTATAGCCAAAATAAGTTCCAATCTTTGGTTGCATGTTGGAATAATTTATTGCCTTCACAAAATTTTGTAATGTTAAAGAGAGTAATAATAAACATTATAAAGTTGAATAAGAGCTCATTCTATTTCTTGAACGTATAAAAAAAATAAACATCAACTAAATTATTATTATTATTATTATGAATTAATTATAGTATAAATCATTATATTTTTTAAACAAATACCTCTTAAAAAAAACAAAAAATAGCATTTTATTTACACTTTCAAAATAAATGAAAATAAAATAAATGAGAATATCAAAATAAAATCCTCATTTTTTTTTGCATAAAATGAGCCCCCAACCATATAACTTTCAATCTCATCTCTCTCTCTCTCTCTCTCTCTCTCTCTCCTCATTATTTGTCCTCAAACGGTATAATGCTGCTGGATCGTGTCGATGTCCAAACCCTTAAGCCTCACCACCGACTCCACGTGTCCCTTCAACGTCAGCACCTCTCTCAGCCTGTAAAAACGGTGAATATACTCTGTCAGACGTTTCATCGAACAGTTTGCGTGCGACTTAAAAGATTTTGTACTTACCTCGCTACCTCCGCGCGGCGCTTAGCCTGCTCTGCGATCTCGGAGAGCTCGCGGTCATGGAAAAGCCCGCAGGCCTCCGCTGGCTGCAGCCCATGAAGCGTGCGTTGCGCCGCAGCCCACAGCGCCTCGCGCTCTCCTATCCCGTAATCCTTCTTGCTCGTAAACGCGGTCTTGTTCTGCAACAGATTATCCCACGCCTTGCCGCTTAAAGCGTAGCGGGTGATGAACTTGAGCACGTCCAGAGGGAGGTAGGTGATGAAGCTGAATATCCAAATGACGCCCGCCCATCCCCAACCGATTCCATCAATTCTGGCGAACTCCCAGGAAGCGCACACTGCGATCAATGTCGCAACCAGCTGCGCTGCAAGGAATGCAGTCACGAGCAGCATTCCTGGGCGTTCGACGAATGACCAGCTCCTCGATCTTGTTACAAAGATGAGCGCTTGGCTTATTATGCTCACTTGCAGGTAAAGCGCCGCGGTAAGCTGGTTGGGGTTTTCTTTGATCGGATGAACCCCGAATTTCTTCTGCAACAAGATTTGAAATGTAGGTGATAAGTTGTTTTGATGAATTACTGCTGTCGAGGGTAAAGAGTAATACTGACGGTGAAAAAGTCGGTGTCGTGGGCGAGGTAGAAGAAGATGACGGTGATGACTGCCATGTACGCGCCGAGGATGACACCAGTCGCAAAAATTTCCTTCAGCTTCCATGAATCCGGAACAGGGGATGGCTTCACGCGATCCTTCGAGATGGTCATGATGGTTCCATCATTGAGGATGGCGATGATGAGAATCATGAAAGGGGAGAAATCGAAACGCCAGATTAAAGCAATGAGCATGAATCCGAGGACGATACGAATGGTGATCGACACCGCGTAGATGGTGTAGTTCTTCATTCTCTGGAAAATGGCGCGGCTTGTCAGCACTGCGCTGATGATGACGCTCAATCCAGGCTCTGTTAATACAATGTCGGATGCGCTTCTCGCCGCATCGGTGGCGTCCGCCACCGCGATACCGATGTCCGCCTTCTTCAGCGCCGGCGCGTCGTTAACTCCGTCACCGGTCATGCCGCAAATGTGTTTTCGTTCTTGAAGTCGCCGCACGATTTCGTATTTGTGCTCCGGGAAAACTCCGGCGAAGCCGTCGGCTTTTTCAATGAGTTCGTCGATTGGGAGTCCGGTTACCTCTGTTGATTTCTCGTCGAGTAGGGTTGATGAAGGGTACATGTTGGTCCCCATCCCGAGTCGCCTTCCGGTCTCTTTTCCGATCGCGAGCTGGTCGCCGGTGATCATCTTCACGTTGACGCCGAGGTTGAGCGCCCGGCGAATGGTTTCCGCACTGTCGTGCCGCGGTGGGTCGAAGAGAGGGAGGAGGCCGAGGAACTCCCATGGCCCGCCGGCGCTCTCCTTCGTCATTTCAGGAATCTGCTGACGAGCTACGCCGAGGGATCTCAGGCCGCGATCTGCAAATCTGTCGATTAAAGCGTGCACCTTTTTTATTGCATCCTCTTTAAGGCCACAGAGCTGGATTATCTGCTCCGGCGCGCCTTTACTAGCCCGATGCCATTTCCCCTGTTCGTCGATATAGGTAATGGCGGTGCGTTTCTCGACAGGGTTGAATGGTAAGAAATGAACTTCCTTTATCCTGGCGCGTGCCTCTTTAGGGTCGGCGAGCATGCCGACGATGCAGGCGTCAATGGCGTCCTGGTTCTCGACACGGGATGCACGCGCGGCGTACAGTAAGAGGTCGTCTTTATCGATATCTTTGGTATAAATTTCGATCAGACTGCGGTCGACGGTGAGCTTGTTGAGCGTCAAGGTGCCAGTTTTATCTGAGCAGAGCACGTCCATGCCGGCCATTTCTTCAATGGCGGTCATACGCTTGGTGATGGCACCTTGCTGCGATAAACGGTGGGATCCGATCGCCATGGTAACTGAAAGTACAGTGGGCATGGCGATGGGGATGCCGCCGATGAGCAGAACAAGGAGATTGTCGATGCCATCACGGTACCGCCGGCTCTGGACAGGGTACATGACGACGATCTCTACAAGCATGCCAATGGCGATGGAACAGATGCAGAAGTTACCAATTGCGGTGAGAACCTTTTGAAAATGGCCGACGTTGTTTGTGTTGTCGACGAGGTGAGCCGCCTTGCCAAAGAAGGTGTGGACGCCGGTGGCGATCACAATGGCTTCGATCTCGCCCTGTTTGCAGGTGGAGCCGGAGAAAACTTCGTCCCCGGGGTGCTTGTTGACGGGAAGAGATTCGCCTGTGAGGGCCGATTGGTCTATCTTAAGCGGATCACCTTCAAGAAGACGGGCGTCGGCGGGGATGATATCCCCGAGCTTGATGCTGATGATGTCACCGGGAACAAGAATGGCGGCGTCCTGCTCCGTCCACCGGCCGTCACGGAGGACTTTGGTTTTTGGCGCGAGTCCGGCCATCAGCGCGGCCGCAGCGTTACCTGTTGATGCATAATTCAATCAAAATGGAGCATGAATTACCTGTTGATTAAATATTTCTTTACCAGCATTATTCTCCTCAATGAAGCTGATGGTGGAATTGATGAAGAGCAGAACTACGATGCCGACGAAGTCCTGCCAGTCCGGCGGCTTTCCGCCTCCATTGGCTAGTACGATGGCCATCAAAGCAGCGATCTCCATGACCCATGACAGGGGATTCCACATGAAGCCGAGGAACTTGAGCAACTTGCTCTCCTTTTTTTCCTCAAGCTTGTTGGGACCGAAGAGCTGAAGCCGCAGTTCACCGTCGGCGGTGGTGAGACCAGCGGTGGAGCATTTGAGCTGGGAGAAGACTTCCTCAATAGGTATGCTCTCGAGATCCACCGCCTCGTTCTTGATGTCTTCCAAAGACTCCATTTTTATTAGTTTTTGAGGTTGAATGGAGGAAGAAGATGGCGATGAACTTCGGTGGGCTGGCACGGACGGCTTAATGCGCGGCGGCGTCAGGCCGTCATGGAAGAATGTGAAGGAATGTGGGGGGCAGTTGGAGTCTAAAGCGGAAGGAAAGGGAAGACAATGGCTTTATAGAGGTTTGGGCATAGCTTGGAAATGGCTGTAATGGCGGGAGATTGGTGGTAGGGGTAGTTATTTTCGCTTTGCGGGCGTTTATTTCTTGTGGCTGAGGTGAAGCTTCGGCGGATTTTGCCGGACGCCTTCAAATAGTCAATAAGAAAAATTGCCTATTATTGTTGAATCTTTTAAGGATGGGGGATTCCGTTTAATTTGTTAACTAATTGGGGAGATTCTTTGAATGGGAATAGTGGAGATGGAGAGTAGGATCGGCAAAACGGCCCGTGTTCGACTTATTAAATAGTTTATGTTCGATTTGTCTACTAAACAAATGAGCGAACACATTTATTTTTTATTGTGTTTGATATATAAACGAGCCGACCACGTTCGTGTTCTGCTTGTTTTAACTCGAAATAATTATAATAAAATGAGTATTATTTTAAAATAATTTTATTGATTGAAACGCTACAAAGATTTATAATCAATTAAAATTACTATTAAAAAAAGAATAAAATTATATTAAATTCTTTTTAAATAAATAATTTAATATAAATAACAAGAATTAAATTTTGCCCTATCATTAATATCCTACGGCCGTGTGATTAGGGTTGTCGAAATAGCTCATTGTTCGTGAATAGCTCATGTTCGGCTCGATAAGCAAGCGAGTCAAACAAATATATTTTTTTTAAGCTCAATATAAACGAATCGAACACAAACTATAATATTTTTTAACAAGCCAAGTCTGGACTGCTCAAGCTCGACTCATTTAGACCCGCAACAGCTACATGCATGACTAGGATTGTCAAAATGGTTTTTTTGTTCGCGAATAACTCGTATTCGGCTCGCTAAGCAAATTAGTCGAACACAAATAATTTTTTTTGTGTTTGAAATATAAACGAGTCGAACATGAACAATCGTATTTCTTAACAAGTCAAACACGAGTTGAGCCTAGCGTCACCTTCCCAAAAAAACTCTTAAGGGTGGTGGGCAACCCAGAACTTAAATATTGTTTTTCAGCCCTACATTTAGACGATGTGAGACTTTTTGATTGTGACATTCACCTCTACTCAATCACGTGACGTCCTCGTCACGGATCGATTCTACCGAGGGTCCCACTGGACCATGGAGAGTTCACACACCTGACTGGCAGTAATTTACTATGATACCACTTATCGCCTCTCAAAAGAGCTCTTTTGAGGTGGTGGGCAACCCAGGACTTAAATACTGTTTTTTAGCCCTACGCCTAGTCGACGTGGGACTTTTTGTCCGTAACACTAGGCCCGTTTACACCCTAAATAGAGGGTATTTTTAGGGTTGGATTTTTCCTCTCTTTTTTTTCTCATTTATATATCATGTAGCTATGTAAAGGGGTCTAAAAAATGAAATATATAATATTAGGTTGTAGGTCTTATAGTACAAAGCCTAAGCATACTCGTTAACAAGACTAGCGAGGATTGTTATGTCGTTCATAAATGACGATATGTATATAGACAAATTGAAATTTTATTTCTTCTGCCTTGAAAATTTGCTCGTCAAGATTGGTGGTGTGGCCAGATAGTTGTCGATGGGCTTGGTGTGAAGGTCTGATTTGTTCATGTTATTTTGACCCTCAATTAATGAACTAAAGTAAAAGGGCACTCTTGTAATGTGGTACCGCTCACCTACCACATCTCACCTACCGTTCACATACCGTTCACCTACCGCTCGCCTACCTCCCACCTACCACTCTCTTGCTTCTATAAATAGAGAGGGTATGAGGCTTAGGAGAGCAAGAGAAGAAATCTTAAGGGTGTGAGGCTTAGGAGAGCAAGGGAAGAAATCTTATTGGTGTGAGGCTTAGGAGAGAAAGGGAGAAGAGATCTTAAGCTACCACAAAGGGGGAGAGAATAGCTATAGAGTTAGAGAGGAGGAGAGCATCTTGAGGCCTTGTATCAAGGTGTCGCTTGAGAGGGAGGCCATCGAAGGAAGATGAGGGCTCATCTCTATGTATAAGCTATGTATTCTCCATTTCTTTTGCCTTAGTGAAATATTTGATTGATTCCCTCCCGTGGACGTAGATCCAGTTGGATCGAACCACGTAAACGATCTGTGTTTGCTTGTGTTCTTTTTCGTCTCATTTCTATGCCAGGAAATACATATCTCACAACAATAAGTGATGTGTTTGCTTACTTTAAAAATTTTTAAAGAGCGATTCAGACTCGATATGGTGCAGCAGTGAAGGTATTTAGGTTTGATCGACAAAGTAATACTAATAAAGCGTTTAAGGAGTATCTATTAGCCCAAGGGATACAAAATCAAATCACATCTCTATACACACCGACACAAAATGGAGTAACAAAGAGGAAAAATATACACATTTTAGAGATAGTCCTAAGCATGATGATCTCGATGAATGTTTGGTTATGTATGTTTTGTAAATGACAATAGACCATCAATAAAGAAGTTGGATCCCAAAGATGTGAAGTATGTTTTTGTGAGTTATTCAGCTACTCAAAAGGGACATATTTGTTGGAGCCCAATAAAGACGAGATCATTTGTGAGTATGGATGTGACTTTTAGATAATTCTAACCGTATTATTCCTTGGAGGTGATCTCACCTTTTGGTGATTTGTCAGACACTGAAGGTTTGAGGCGAGAGCGGGGAGTAGTGATGGTGAGAGATTGATGTATGCATGAATGATGCCTTGTGTCGTTGTGTGCGAAAGACCTGCGAAGGCAGGGTGGTTAGATAATGAGAAAAATGAAGCTGAGAAGTGTCGAATAATGAGGAAAATGAGCTCAAATATGGTGGGATTAAAGCTCAACGAGAGCTGAGAATGTATATAAGGAGAAAGCGACTGAATGAGGGAACAGTGTTCGCCGTGCCACTCGTGTCCTCAAATACTTTGTCTTGGTCTACCCCGACTCCTAATACGCCTACACCATTAATCGCCCCTAAATGTGCGTATTTTTTTAATGTATATTTACTTCAAATTCAATCTCCTGCGGCGACATTAAATACTTGATATGACCCGTAATTACGTAGATATTTAATTTCATGGTAAAAAACTTGACCCAGTTTTATTATGGCGGCTATTATGCAAAACAAATATGTTGAAGAATTTTAGAATTTAATTTACACACACTAGGGGTTCTACGCAAGTATATGTATCATTTCAAGTAGTATATGGTTTTCTTTTAAGACAGAGTGTCGATCTCACAGAGAAGCGAGGTAAGAAATCCCTAAGATTAATTCTAGTATATTACTATCATGCTTAAGTTTGGAATTATGAATAATGGTGTTTTTCTAATAATGAATCCTAAATACAAACCTAAATATAAAGATAAACTTAACTTGAGAAATTGATTTGGAGAATTTTGAGAAGTTAAAAACTACCAGTGTCCAAGTAAATGTCTAAGAATGAAATACTTAGAATTTAATGTTGTGAGTGACAAATATGAGCATGCCTGCGTTTTTACCTCTTCCATTTGATTGATTCCCTCCCGTGGACGTAGATCCAGTTGGATCGAACCACGTAAACGATCTGTGTTTGCTTGTGTTCTTTTTCGTCTCATTTCTATGTCAGGAAGTACATATCTCACAACAGTTCGTGTGAGCATGTAACAATAACTCGAGTAATGTGATTGAGCTCGTTTAAACACTTAAGCTTAGCGAGTCTATTCGAAGGAGCTCGCAGGAATACTAACGATCTTTGAAAATACTCGCATGGTTTTTCTGGGCAACAAGGTGTTATGTAGCTTCTTACTTTTAAAGGTATTGCTAACACCTACGGTTGCATGGCCAAAATCAAATCATCAAGAGCATGGCTATTGGGCTCTGATCATTGAGGCCATGAGACCGATTTAGTATTTTGGTTTTCTAGTAGTGAGGAGATCCGTAGCTTGTTACTTGTAAGGTCTTCTAGGTAATGAGGAGCACTGTAGTTTGTTACTTCCAAAGATACTAGTAATGCGAACCATTGCATGTTCATAACCAAGCGCATGGCTTGTGGGATTGTATGGTCAGAATCAGACCATTAAGTGCAGGTAGATGGGATGAGGCTTGTTTAATATTTAGACTTTCCTGTTGCTTAATGAAACTCTTTTTTAGACATACATTTATGTTTAAATATCTTGGTCTCATTTGATTTTTTTTTTAATTTAAAGAACTGATTATTGTGCGTGCTTAAAAGATTTTTAGGACTCAAAATCCTAAAAAATTCAATAATATATTGAAATTATTTCTTACGAGCAGAATTGGAATCCATGGTTTGAAAAGCAATTCAGAGAGTGTTGTTACTCCTTTCTTTAATTTTACTTTTTTTAATTATTTAGAAAGATTTGCATATCTAAATACATAACCTTCAAATTTTTACATAAATGTCATTTCATCGATACATATATGTTGAATCCGGAAAACATGCCCAAGTTATAAAACGTTAGAGAGAGAGAGAGAATTGTAGAAAACAACAAGTAATATGTGATCTTTGTTCATGACATTAACCTCTTTTTTTATAGGAATGAGTCTAGATTCTACAAAATTACATATCAATCTCCTTATTATTAGCATTTTAAAGGAATTTTTGGTAATTACAACCACTTATAATAAGACCGGAGGACAGATTCGATCGACAGAATGGAGGAAAGCCTATCCCTTGGAGGGGCCAGGCAGCTAGAGTGTGGATTGTCAGGTTTCTTCCGACGCTGACGCTGCGAGGGGAGAGGAGACGATTGGTGGGCACAGAGTGTCCTCTAACTTTATAGTGTGTCGTCTTGATCAGATGGAAGAGCTTTTCCTTCGCTTTATGGGATATCCTCGGGGAGATGGTGACTGAATTGTTGAAGTTCTGGAGAAAGTCAATTGGGCGGAGGGGGAGGTTGTTGCTTTACGCGAGGAGCTTTCTGTTTTCCAGAGGGAGAAGGTTGTTGTTTGAGAGGAGATAGCACACTTGTGCTCGGAGCTATCAGACTTCAGAATAAGTCTCATTGCTCGATCAAGGGATGGTCATGATGATATTTCATAT